ATAGGGATTTTAGGTTTATATATGTTATAATCATAGGGATCTAAGGTTTATTGACGTGGCTCAAAACCTAAACGTTGGTTTCATATAAATTCTCGAACGATTCGGAGTCGCGCTCTACAATTAGCCGCGAGGACCGGCCTCGGCCCCTCTAATTGCAATTAATTAAATCTACCCCATCAGGCAGCGGGCTTTGCTCCTTTTGATTCTCGAAATAAATCAACTTCTACACATTTAAAATGTACTTTTTTCGTAGATATTATGGAAAAAAAAATTGGCCGCTGCGGGATTTGCAAGGATTTGCAGAGCTAAAGGTTCAAGCCGATCGGAAAGACTGAAGGTCAATAACCCTAGCTGCCCTACGTTGAATGCGGTCAAATGGAAGTATCCTGAAGAAATGGACGTTGGCCTTACTTTCCAATTGACCGAGTACTGGACATTGCTCGAGATTTCGACGCCAAGTATTCCGATACTACTGTGGCAGATGGGGTTAGATGTCAAAATGAGGAGTTACGAAAAATGGGAACTTTTTAGCGGTTAACGCGCAAACTTGTGTCTTATTAGGTTTGAATTGGACTAAGTTTAGTCGACCAAAGTCTGATCTTCGACCTCATAACAAGAAAGCAGTGAACTAAACTAGTAAGTAACCAATTTACCAAGTGAATTATATGAAAAGAGAGATTGCAGAGTTTCTTGGCAGTTTTTCCCTGGACATGATTCATTAAGTTGAACGTTGGTAGACGTTCACGAGAGCACCGGAACCAGCCTAATTTCAATGAAGAAATTAGGACTTAGAATTAGATGTGAAAATATTTTTTTAAATTTATGAGTAAGTAAAGAAGTAACTTGGAACCAAAGTATTAAATGAACAAGAGAGCCGAGGAGATATGGTGTATAAATTATAACTTAAAAACCTAGGCATAACCATGCAGCTTAGTAGTGGTGTTTAATTATTAGATGTCGGAATTTCGACGCTTAAAAAGGTTTGTTGCGAAATAACTCGCCAACGGAATAATAACGAGAGTGTCGCATGTTTTCGGCGGATGAGCCTTTAAGCTAGCTCTCGGCCCATTTCTCGGCCCGTTGCATGCATCATTTTGAGCAACATCAGTGTAAATGACGTACCGATGTAAATGGCCGTTTCGATTCTACTAAAAATAATCTCGACATTTGAAGCTTTCTGAGCTGTTTTGCAACAAATAATTTATATGTAGGTTGGTACATAGTATTAGGTTTTAATAACAAAACCAATACTATGTACCAAGAACGTTAAATTTTGAGATGATTCATGACTAAATGAAACTATGTTTACGGATATATCGCTTTTGTTTTTAGTTTTAATACCGACGTTTCGTGCCTTTTACAGCGTTCATGGTCACGGGACAGACTGAGGCGTTGGACGTATGGGTGTTATTGTTAGCCCGGGCCAAAGAGAATGTAATCACTACGTTTACGTACGTCTACGTTTGGTTCGGGCTATCGCCAATTTTCAATTATTCATTTTTGTGTCGATCTACGCTGAACATGCCAATTTTTCCTTGCAGTAGTGGTTCATTTGGGCCTTGATATAATTTTATTAATAATAGGATCCCAAGTTGATGGTCGCACCCAACATTGTTCTCTATTGAAATTTATGTTTTTTTTTTATTTCAATAGATCTAGTTATTTTTTCTGTACTATCACAGTAACGGTATTAAACAAAAGCGCTTGCTGAGGAGTGAGCAGGGGAACGGCCGTCTCGCTTGCCACCTTCTCCATAAATAAAACCGTTTAAAAAGTTAAACGGCTTTATTTTATGTTTTTTTTTGTTAATATTGTATTGTCATCTAAATTAAATGTGTGTACCAAATTTCAGATCAATCTGACACGGCAAGGTGCTTAAATTTCAATTTCTAATTTGACCCAAACAAACAAATTCCGTACGGGTCGAGCTAAATAAAACCGTTTAAAAAAGATTGACATTGCGTAAATTAAATTTTTGTATTAGCGAACTTTAAGAATACATAAGATGTCATTGTGGCGTTGCCGCCGAAGCGTGACAGGGCGCGGAAGTGCTCTGTCCCTCCCCGTCCTTCAGGTGAACAGGAGGCCGGCAGCGCGGCGAAGGGGCACGCGTTGTTACTAATCCTCTGGTTGCGATATCCATAATTAGAGCGATTACAAATGAAAAGCATCAAGTCATTCCAAATTTTTTGTGCATAGTATATGATTAGAATCTAGTGCACATTTCTTAATACTGGAATAAATACCGGTTAGTTGAAGGTAATAAGCTTTACAAAAGTTGAGAATTAAAATCAAAAATGTATTTCCATATTTTAACCTTCGTTCTACAGTCATAACATTTCTGAAGCCACCAGACCGTAAGTTTGTCTGCACATTTTGTCAAAGGAAAGCATTTCCGCCGCTACTTATGAAATTCTGAATAGTTTAACTTTTCCGTTTTACTAAAAGCTGTTCGCGTTTACTAACTATATTAATTTGTAATTTACTTTCTTACCGTAATATTAAATTAATAAAGTTAAGTACATTAAATAACTTATTAGACGCTGATAAAAATATATTTTTTTTACTTGAAATCCTATGTCTGAAAAGAAAAAAGATTTTATAAGTATTAATAGGTAACGTTTACCTTTTAATGTTTCTGAGGACAATTATTTAATTTTTGAATAAACAAAAATATTTTTTCTCTGAGTTAGATGTATTTAGACACGCCATACAAAGAGAAAAATGTTCCAGTCCAGTTTAAACACGTAATATTATTACGTGTTTAAACTGGACTGGAACATGTACATTTCTGAGATGGACCTTGGCCAAAATTTAGAAGATACTCCTTGATTTATAACCAATGGTCTTATCAATCTATCTTATACTGCGTTTTGTTGGTTTTATCTTAGTTTCTAGCAATTTATAGCGGCTAAAGAGTGAGTTTAGATTTCCAACATTCCTAGAAAAACAAATTGGAACCAACAGAAGAATTCTTGTAAAATAGGTAATTTTTCGAATGCCAATGAATGTGCTAGATTATATGAACTTTAGAAAGTAACATATTAAATTTTAAAAACACCACCCGTATTGAGAAGAAAATAGTGTCGGGTTTTTTAACAAATATGAAATCACGGGCTCAAAGTACACCCAAACAGAAAGAACTGTTGAGAAGAAAGTATGGTGAGTATTCCTTGTTACTACTTAGCCTTAGAAACTGAAACTATTGCACCATGTATATATGTTAGTGTACATGGAAAATGTCTATAATGATTAGTAGAAAATGCTCGTTAGCTTCTACAATAAATCGATTACCAGCGAAGTTTGTTTAGAATTGATGGAGAGGAAATATTATTCCGTTATAAATAATTTTCCGTCATGTTTTACACTATTTTCTCTTCAAAGACGACCTTCACCGAACTGATTAATGAATGAAACGTATTTTATATTTAACTTTATATGTCAATAATATTGCATATGGGTTTTCTAAAAAAATTCAGTCCAGGATATGATTATTTAATAATAAAAAAAAATTTAATCCTTTCACCGGTTTTGTTAATAGACAAATTCCATACCCATCGAAAGTATAAAGCCTATATAATATCGGCGAAGGTCGCCTTATATCGGGATCCTATATTATCAACAATTATTTTTTGTAATAGCAGGCCCGTACCTATTTCGGCGGTTGCTTTGATCAAGGATGCCTGGATTGGAGTGACTCCTAATGGGGAAGAGGCTTCGAACAGGCCTTTTTCTTCCAAGTGTTAACACATTTTATAATACAAAGGATTTAAGTCTAGACTTGAGGCGGGCCAAAGTCTTCTTGGGAGATGAAGTCAATTTCTCGCGCCTCCAGTTGCGCTCTATGAACAGAATGTTGCTGGAAAACTCAGTTTCTGTTTTCAAATATGGTATTAGTAAGAGGTTCCACAAGATTCGTTAGGATTCCAATGTGATATACAACAATAGCATTCGTTTTTGCGCCTTTCTCACACAAATATACCCAAGTTAAGCCCGAATATGAGACTCAGAGCCAAACCATGAGTGACGATTGAAAATGGCCTAGCTTGGCACGTGTAGTGCGATTGATAGCTTCACTGTTGTGAGCGTCTTCACACTTTATTATTTTGCTTATTGTCAATCTCCTCTGCGGTAGTAATTTTTCCAAATTTCTCCAAAGCAGAATTTCAAGATATTTTTTTACCACGTACCGCTCGTCAATAGAGACCAAAATGAAAGAACACATAGCTGACGTGAACAACGACGGTTGGGTTAGATTACATTAGATTTGATGAACCGAAATTCCTACAAACACCGATTCCTTTCATTCTGTAGCAATGCTACAGTAATATATATTATTACGAGTATAACATTGTAAGATGTTCTCATAGCTAGTACGAACAGGGGCTCGTGACTTGATAATATGATTCGCACATTATCGTCGGTAGATACCTAACATTACGTATTTTTATAAAAGTTTTTTTTTTATGATCACATAAACTTTATTCAATTTGTCCACGACAAAGCATTCGAAATGCCGGGTATTACAATTTAGGAAATAAACGTCATAACTTCGTAAAAAAGTTTGATTTAGTAATGTTTAGTACTGTGTAGTTGTCGTATTAATAATATAACAAATGATTAAATTTTAGCTTTGATAAAGAAGACGTAATTCTCCATAAACTTATTATTTAGTATTGTCTATGGCTAATTTTTATTAAAAATTTTCACAAACGTGAATGTGCGCCTTTATTCTACATTCATCCCAATAACGATTATACGTTACACGAACAAGAACACTGACTGCAAATGTTATCTTAAGCACTTTGCCCTTTGCGCAACACAATTAATCTTCTTCTTCTCATATATTTACGTTTCATTGGCGTATTGATGACAGAATTGTATCTGTTATCTTAGGCCAGTTGCGAATCGGCAGTCTGGTGTCGCGCTACGGCCGCAGAGTTCTGCTCCGCGTTTAGGCATTCACTCGAACGACGCCTGCGGCTTCGCCTCCACTCGCGATGGACCCGGAGAGGCAACCTCTGCTCGCCCATTCGGGTTGCAGGTAAAAATGAATCGCTTGAACTCCGCTCACTTCGCCCAGAAATAAGCTAATTTGGAGGTCGGTGTGTCGAATGTGGCAGGGCGCTCTCGTACTCGGAGGTGGCGCGGTGCCGCGGCGCGCCCGGCTGGAGGCGAGCGCGCGCCGCGGCGCTGGTGGCGCTGTGGGCGCTGGTGGCGCTGGCGGCGGCGCTGGCGGCGCGCGCCCTCTCCGCCGCCCCCTGCGCCCCTCCGCACGCCCTGGGGCCCGCGCCCCCCGTGCCGCCCGCGCACCTCTCGCTGGCGCCGCTGGTGGCCTCCGTGCGCGACCAGCACCACAAACAGTTCATGCTCTAGAGAACGTCCTAGGTTGCCTTTTGTCCCTTTAATTCGCCGCGATATCTCAAGGCCTGAGCGTCATCACCATCAGCTGGTTGCGAGGCTGCAATCGGAAAAAAATAAACGTGTACCTACGCGGAATATTGTTTTGCTATAATAAAGTTTTTACTTCTGGTAGAAAATTGTATTTGTATATTATATTCTTATACATATTAGCAATTGATTTATTTATTTCGTTGCGCTGTAGCAAACTTACATTCAGTAGCAGTTACTAATAGTGACTATATAACACGCACAGTACAAGTATTAGTTTCTAGCTATTCCAAAAGTCTTGTTACACCTCAAAATTAATTACCGCGGGAAAATATATAGTCCATGTTTTATTAAGACTTTCGTTGTGGTATTACTCAACCACATAGCTGTAATAGACTTCGATTGGCATTGAATAATGAAGCCCCATTCTGTGCCACTGTTTGCAATTGGTTTCATGAGTGAGCAATTTCAGTGATAATCTGCGTGAGACGTGCTTCAACAACGACATCTGAGGATAATATTAGTGCTGTGCGCGGATAATAGAGGAAGATAAAAGACTGAGCATACCAGCAGTAGAAACTAACAATTGCATATTTCACTATGGCAGGTGTCGTGATAATGAGTCAACCGCCATTTACTTAATTCCGACCTGGCGCTTTGCGACTTTCATTTATTCTCAAGGATCAAAGATAAACTTCAAGGTATTCGCTTTACGAGTCGTGTGTTCGAAAATGCCGTAGAAGAGACGCCTAAGGAAGAATGGACCCACTGCTTCTCAGTGGTTCCAGCGAATGCGAAGATGTATAGAGAGGAACGGAGACCAGTTCGAATAATAAAAGTATTGAAAACTATTTACATTTAGCCGTTTTGTTATTTTCTAAGAACTTTCAGCGTGGCCCATGTAATGTCTTTTTTTTTATGGGAAAAAGCAGCAAACGAGCAGGAGGCTCACCTGATGGTAAGTTATCACCGCCGCCCATGGACATCTGCAACACCCGAGGGCTTACAAATGCGTTGCCGGCCTTTAAGGAAAGAGTACGCTCTCTTCTTGAAGGTTCCCAGGTCGTAACGGTTCGGAAAGACCGCCGGCGGCAGCTGGTTCCACAGAGTGGTTGTGCGAGGCAGGAAATGCCTTGAAAATCGCGCTGTTGTGGAACGCTGGACATCGAGGTGGTGTGAATGAAATTTTTGCTTTTGGCGCGATGTCCGATGGTGAAATTCAGCCGCCGGGATCAATCCAAACAATTCCTCGGAACACTCCCCGTGATAGATGCGGTAGAAGATGCAGAGTGATCCAACATCTGTACGCATAGCCAAAGGATCAAGCTGATCGGAAAGACCTTGATCGTCGATAACCCTAGCTGCCCTACGTTGGATGCGGTCAAATGGAAGAAGTTGGTAACAGGGGGCTCCCGCCCAGAGGTGAGAGCAGTGCTCCATGTGGGGCCGAAGTTGCGCCTTATAAAGGTTTAGGTTTAGGCGTTGAGCCGACGTGAAGTACTGTAATGTCTTATTCAAATATACCTACAATGCGTAGAAGGCAAGAGGCGGTGCGGCGCCCGAAAGTCAAGAAGTACAATGCCCTCCTTCACATTTTAGTTAGGTAAATTGTTTTATCTGACTAAAATGTGGAGGAGGGTTTAAAAGTTCGCATCCCAGTTAAAGGAATTAAATAAAGTATGGGCAAAACTATTTTTTTTTCATCAAATATAATCTTCATCAAGCGCCATCACTTTTTTCCAACCTGCTTCCAATTTCCAAGGATTCTATGCTTGTCTTATAACATGATTTACTTCAGCTGTGGCCTCTTCAAATCGGGAAAAGACGCCAAACAAAGCCGTAGTTCGTACATTGAGGGCTATAATGACAAACCCAGCTCCCATCCATGGTCACACAATTATCTAATAAAGACCTTGTACAATCATACATCAGCAAAAAAATTTGATGTAACAAATGTACTTGAATGACGGTACACACATACATTGATATTTTTTTCTCATTTTATAAAATCGGCGCTTTTTTTTCACTGAGCTAGTTTGAATTTAAATGCTACTTCTTAACTTATAAATATAGTTTCTTTATAAACTACTTCAATTGTTTTTCACACCCTTAAAAGACAACACTAAAAAGTTATTCCACCTATCATATTTATTTATTTAGTTGCACCAACAGAGTAGACACCATCACAAGTTAAAAAAAAATAGAAAACAAAATACAAGATTGGTGCTACTCCAATTATAGGTACAAAAAACATACAAATAATCAACAGCGTTACGAATTAAGAGTTAAATTAAAATTACTAATTAAGAATACAAATTAATAGTACGAAATAAATGGATCATTACAATAAGAATAAAAATGTAACAAAGAAAAAATTACCAAAAAAAAATTACCTCTATCACACATTAATTAAAAACGGAATATCCTTATAGTATAGGTTACAATTGTTAAACTACAGTCTGATGCACGTAATATTTGAATTTGTATAATTTGTTTGAAAACATATCCACAAGAGGAATTTTTGAATCACATTTGAAATTACTGCCTACCACGCTTGTGTTATGAACCGCATTATAATTTCTCATTATTCTATTCAAAGGAAAAAATTGTCCCAACTTTGAGCGTGCTGTTTTTAAATTAAATGGAGTATATTTCAATAGTCTTGGCAAATCTAGTCTAGGTATAGACAAGTTTAACTGAGATATTAAGTATGCATCTTCAATTTGTCCATTAACCAGTTTAAACAGAAACATGGAGTCAAGCAGCTTTCGTCGACAGAAAAGGGATTGTAAGCCAAAGTGTCTTAGGTTCTTTAAAGTGTCTTTTCATAGCTCTTCATAGCTTCTTTCTTCATAGCTCATAAGTGTTTTTAAAAGGTTGCAACTGTATGATAAGTGCCATAAAAACCTTTTCTGAACACTCTCTAAGCGATTTACATATACACTGTAAATGCGGGTTCCACACAGTATTGCAATCCTCTAAACTACTACGTACTAATGTATTGTATATAGCTATTTTAGTGTTGGGTTTATTAAATTCTCTGCAATTCCGTAAAACAAAACCCAACGTTTTAAAACCTCTTTTAACGAATGTGTCGATGTGTATATTAAATTTAAGCTTGTTATCGAGAACAATGCCTAAATCGCGTATGTTAACCGCCTCAGTGAGTGGCTCACAGTTTACGCAATATGTTATGCTAGGCAAAAATTTTTTCCTACAAAAGTGTACCACGCAACATTTTTTAATATTTAAACTCATACCGTTTGTTTTGCACCATGAGACTACATTATTTAAATCCTCAACCGTTTACATACCTTCTTGGGTTGAATTTACTGTTCTAAAAACTTGAAGTCATCAGCAAATATGTAATATTTGGAGTGGTGGAAACATGTTCCTATGTCGTTAATAAAACAGTTCAACAGCAGAGGGCCCAGATTAGAACCTTGGCAAACACCAGATAATACTGTAAAAGGCACAGAACTATGACCACTCATTACGACTGTCGATTTTCTACCTTTTAGATAGGACCTCAACCAGTTTAGTAAGTTGCCAGATATTCCAAGTAACGAGAGTTTGGCGATCAGTAATTCATGATTCACTCTATGGAAAGCCTTACTGAAGTCAGTATATATAACCTCTATTGTCTACTGCCTCAGTAAGGTCTTCGACGAAAATATGAGATTTGTTGAAGTATAGCGTCCTTTGACAAATCCATGTTGTTCCGAAACAATAAGATGTTTTAAATGCCACGGTAATACAGGACACAACATGGATACGAAACTTTAGCAAAAACTGAGATTATAGAAATAGGCCTGTAATTTGTGACAGAACTGGCATCACCACTTTTAAACAAAGGTAAAACGAGTGCATCTTTCCAAGCTGTCGGGAAAATACCAGTATTTAGAGATTTATTGAATATTAAAGTGAGGGGCACTGCTAAAGCATGGGCACATTTAACAACAAATATAGATGGTACTCCATCCGGGCCTGCACCTTTGCTACAATCAAGTATCTTTAAAACCCTGAGTACTTGTCCAAGTTGTTAGGAAATTCGTAACAAAGAAAGAATGTGACTGATTCGGAATAGGGATATCATCTGTATTAAAAGACGAAGAGAATTGTGTTGCGAAAAGTTCGCAAATGTCCTTGCCGTTGGTTGCAACACTATCGTCAGAGTTCATTTGGGCAGAATATCCACTGGTACCGCCTCTTTTGTGCTTAATAAATGTCCATAACAATTTAGGATTGGATGCCAACGAAGTCTCTAACTCTAAAGTTTTGTAGTTTGAATAGAGTAGTTTAGCACTTCTTTCCCGGAGCAATTCAAAAATAGTTAGTAAATTACAAGGATTACCATATTTACGATATTTTATTCTTATTTAAACTTTTCCTTTAGTAATTTTATCAAAGGCATTGAGAACCATATAGGATAACTATTAATAGTGCGAGGTTTTGATTTTGGTACTTGCTTAGAAATTATTGACCGGAGTAATTTATATAAAATGGCAACCATTTCGTCCACTGTTTCACACCCAGATAATTGATCCGCCCAGGATATACTATGTAAATCTAAAATCACTTTCTCATAGTCTGCTTGGAAGACGCAAAATCTAGCATCGTGTTTAGACGTTAGATTTTCAGAGTATTCGCCTGCAATATAGAATAATTGTAAAGATGGATGTAGTGGATGGATCAAGTATGGAGAGGGAATTTGGACATATATTTATTTGCTCAGTATTAAGTCTAGTATTTTGTTTTTATTATTTAAGTACGAATTGTATTGAATATATTTAGAGACATAAAATCTATTATCATAATTATTATTAAGTACTCTGACTCATTGAATTTTGCAATGCTGGTCTTCTGTAAGGTTGTAGTACTTACCCGGACGAACCCGCACATTCGTGCAACAGCGAATAAGACTGTTGCATGGCCATGCTACACTTAAAACATTCATCTAATAAATGAGCGAATTGTAATTAGGTAATCGAAGTATAATTAAACAATGAAATCAACACACTCGCCCTGCCATTGGATGTCCTTCACTTGGATTGTAACAGACATCGACAAAAATTCACAACAAACTCAAAATACTTTTGTAATAAAATACTTTTACTGGTATAAACAGGTTACAAGTAATATAAAAAATATTTACACTTATAATACTAATTCAATTTAACCTAAACGTATTGCATTGAACTAGATTAAGCACTAAAATAACATTTGCACATCTCCAAAAGTCATGGTACGTCGGTTTCTACGCATATTATAATATAGACAATACATAGAAGTGTTTGTCATGTTATTTTTAATATGTTTTTCACTAATTTGTACCTAAATGGTAACATATTATGGTGTGCGTTTAATCGAAAATTAAATATTGCGATGAATACAATGTATAGTACAAGTACCTACATAAATCGAGATGAATAAATGAGTAGGCATCTATAATATAATAGGTAATCTTATTAGGGTGATCATTTAAAAGTGATTTCCTTATTTTTAAGAGTAATAACAATAAGTGTCATTTTAATATCGTTAGCATTTCTAGTATAAATGGTATGCAAATGTTTACACCAGTACATTATCAATCTTAAAATTGCGAAACTAAATAAAAATTGACTATTTACAGTTATCTTTGGTACCAATAAGTATATATTAATACGCTAAACATACTTATACGTTTAATTATTACGCGTTAAATTATTTATTATATTAGTATATAGGCGACATTCTAATTAGCCGGGGTCACAGGAGCAGGCGGCACGCGGCGTCCGGGATCGAGTAGAGGGCGAGCAGCGGCGGCTCGGGGCCGGAGCGCAGCGCCTTGGCCGCCTCCGCCTGCACCTCGGCCAGCAGGTCGGCGCGCCGCGGCAGCAGCTCGGCCAGCGCGGGCGCGGCGGGCGGGGCGGCGCCGCCGGCCGGCGCCAGCAGCGGCGGCAGCAGCGCCGCCAGCGCCGAGAGCCGCGCCGCGTCCGCCGCCAGCGCCAGCGCGCACACGCGCCGCGCCCCGCTCGCCTGCGCCACGCGCGCGCACACGCTCGCCACCACCTGCGCACCGCGCTCGCTACAATCACTACAATCATTTCGCTGTTCGATTCTGTCTTACAACATTCAAAATGTTTTCCTCTACTGCGTTATTAATTTCACGTTTTCAAGAACGTTCTGTAATTGTAAGGGCATTCGTCCGAGGGAACGGAGCCAGGGTGACATTTCCATGGGCCTCACCCAGGCACGTCTGAACGAAAAACTAGTTAATGCTTTATGAAGCGTATTATGACAGACAATGTTTACCTATCGAATCGAAACGAATCAAGAAATATTGAACGATTGTAGCAAATAAGTACGGCGTAAATCAAACACATCTGTCAAAGGAAGCCGCCTCAGCGAACCGCGCGCGTGCGGAAATTATCTTTTCTTGCACCCTAGTGGCCGCACCTACTTTAGGTAGGTGCTTTGCCAGGAGAAAAGATAATTTCGAACATTGAACTCCTATGCCTATCTCTATCGTACCTTCGTCAATCCATGCCTTAAGACGGCAGCTCTCGCATCTGTGTCAATGTGAGTTCAATTATCTCGTCTCAGTGGCCTTCCTTAAGTTATTTTACATGCAGCCTACCGACTGCATACCTACAGATTGCAGAATGTAGGGTGACTGACCACTCTTAACGGGATAAACAAACAACGCTTGAATTTATATTTTTCTGGTTATTTATTGTCAAAATAAAATATTAATATTTTTTTGGAATTATGGAGTGTTTAATAATTAATATTATGTCAAAGTATGTACTTCGTCTAATAAATCATCCTGTATACTGTACAATATCTCATCATATTTATAAAACCCGGAAATTAGCACGACAGTTTTAATAGTAGTAACGTATTAACTGATGAACAATCCCAAACTCACTTGATTCTCAAGCTGTCTCCTATAATTCTTGTTCAGTTTCTCGTCGCCGGTCACGAAGGTGACGAACACGGTGGGCGTCTCGGCACCCCCTCCCCCGCTGCCGCCCCCTCCCCCTCCCCCTGCCCCTGCCCCTGCCCCACCCCAACCAACCGACAGGCTACGGCTCGGTGGCCCTGCGCCGCACGCGGAAACTCCGCTTATTATGGCTTCGACAGTTTATATTTTTATTGGATTTATACTAAACCGTTCAATTGTTTAATTAACATGTTACCGTGATAAAGAGTGGTATAACATATACAGCGTTTAACAATTTACTAGTGGCTTGTTGGGGGCGGAGATCTCCCGCTGCCCCCAACGCCTGTGGTTAACCTGGTACTCTCAAACGGCGATCACAAACGAATGATAAACATAAAAAAATACCATTAATATATAAGAAGAAGTAGTAGTCCTAAGTCAAAATTTGATGATTCTTTACAATAACAAAATAAAGATATGTATATGACCGACTCAGTGGATATATTTGGACGAGTGTTAGTGCCTTGATGCTAGTTGCATTAAAACTATACAGCGTGTCGTCACCATCGCGACAATAAATGAACACATGTCTAACGCTACTTGCCAATAATCGTAAAAAAATATTAACGTTAAACAAAAATCCATAATTAAAATGTTTTTTTTCAAAAAAACTAATTAAGGAAAAAAGAAACAAAATTTGTAATATCCTATACAACTCGCGCCACAGCGTCGCATTACAAGCCTCTCCTTCTAACAGTATGTTTTGTCTCTTTTAAATCCATTCACCCCACTCATATGCTTTGTGACCTTTACAAATGAACTTTATTTTACAGTTTTATATGTAAGGGTGTTCTAAAATTCTTTGTTTTAGAAAATTTAATAACTCTGTAAATATTGATGTTTAAAGAATGAAAAGGTTTAATACAATTTTAAAAAGTTATGCCCTCTATGTGTGTTCATTTATTGTCGCGATTGTAAAGACACGCTGTATAAACTTTAATATTAATTAATAATAAAAGACACGAAATATGAAATAAAACGTTAGCAATTGATCTTCAGAATAAGGTTAGCATTATTAAAGATTATTTTAATTCATATTTTAATGATGTTCACTTGTTGGCTTTTTGCGTCCCAATGAGGAATTATTTACAAATGGTATGTTGTTGTCGATAGTGGATCGTACCGTCGTGCGCACGCGCGGGTTGCAGCCTCTGGCGAACCAACTCCAGCGCTTCCGCCTGCGCCAGCACTTGTTCGCGTACCCTGCAGTGCGATCGGTGTTTTAGCAGAGTCGGCTTCCGTTCGCCGGGAACCAAAGGAACACTCAATGGGGGGGGCTCACTTGGTGCCCTCCCAGCAGTCGACGCGCACGGTGCCGGCCAGCGGCTGCAGCAGCACGCCGGCGGGCAGCAGGTCGCGCGGCTCGCCCGCCGCCGGCGGCCAGGGCGAGCAGCGCAGCCCCCGCGCCCACGCCTCGCGCGCCACCGCCGCCCCCGCCGGCCCCGCCGCCCCGCCCACGCGCACCGCCACCGCCAGCTGGACAGACGGCACTCCCGCCCTTCGCTTTACGCACCTGGCCGACGGGAGAGCGGGAACGGCGCGTTGCAATCGACGCCCAACGGACGGCCTCCGCCCCCCGTGGGCGACGCTCACCTGCGGCGCCGGAGCTCCCCGCAGGGCGGCGGCGCGCTCCAGCGACAGCGAGAAGCCCACCGCCGCGCCGGCGCCGCGCACGCCGCGCTCCGCCACGCGCGCCGCCCGCCCCAGCTGATCCACCAGCTCGTCGTACCTGACGGAACGGCCGCGCCTCGTGACACATTCCTAACTCGAAGCCTAACGTTCCGATGGCTACGAGAACAAAGAGAACCTTCCGCCGGCCGCCACCACGTGCCGCTCGCGAAGTCGTTGCGCCGGTTCGCGCACCACCAGCTGCCAGAACACGCCGCTATGCTGCTCCGCACCGTGCGCCAGTAGAGGCGCCACGGAGATCGGCACCTGGCCGTCGAAACAGACCGAGTTTCATTTCCCTGTCGCGCCCTCCGCGAGTCGAGAAACGAAATGGGGCGAGGCCTCACATCGCAGCCGAGCGCACGGGCGCGACTCTCCACCTCGGCGAGCTCTCGCATCGCTCGCTGCAGCACGGGACTCCACTTGTCCTGCTGCACCTGCGAAAAATGTTCATCGAAGACGTCCGTATTAGTCCGAGTTTAAAAAGTCTTTAAGGGGAACGAGGGGGCCGGCCCGGAGACCTGCGCGATGAGGTCGGGCAGCTCGTGCAGCGGCACGTCCGCGTCCGCGAGGCGCAGCAGGGCGGCGAGGCGGCGCGCGCCCGGCGCCAGCGTGGCCAGGTGCGTGTGCAGCTGCAGCCGCGCCAGCCGGCCCAGCGAGAACTCGCGCAGCGCGCCCGCCGCCGCCGCCACGCGCGCCTCGGCCAGCCCGCCGCAGCGCAGCAGCGCCCGTAGCAGCGCGCCGTGGCCGAGCCGCAGCCGCGCGCGCGTCCGCAGCCCAAGCGCGCCCGCGCAGCGCGCCGCGCACGCCACCGCCTCCGCGTCGGCCCACGTGCACCCTGCGAGCGCAGTGCGCACCCTTAGGTGACGCCGTCGTAGACGCAGGGCGCTCTATCGCCCGCATATAACATATCGCTCACCGCGGTCGGGCGCCACGATGTCGAAGGCGCACTCGAGCGCCTCGCGCGGGTGGAAGCCGGCGCGCTCGCGGAACACGCGCCCCACCGCGTAGCGCCGCATGCGCTGCACCCCCTCGTGCGCCACCTTCCTGCCGGCCCACGGACCGCCCACCCGCACCATTACAACCAAACTGCGATTTGCCACTTTCATTTATTTAACGCCTAACAATTTACACCATTCATGCTATTACGAAAATAATTAGATCGATCATCGTAGCTCCACACTCCACAAATAAACATTGCAAAACAACCAATGGTTTTCGTCTGGGTCAGATGCACATTTGATAACTATCAAGAGGTGAGTGTGAGTTATCTCTTGAAAACAAAACTGTCATTTTTAAATCGTCCAAATATTTCATTAAAAGAAGAGCAGACAAAGAAAGCTTTTGAATTTAAAATTGACGCGAATGTTGATAAAAGATATAGTGAAAGTATCGTAAGAAATTTATCAACGGAGGGATATTCATCAAGTGATAGTTTAGACCTACTGATATTTAATTTGCCAAGAAAACCTAAAGCTTTTTGCTGATGATTTTGATTCAGGAGTTATCAGAAAATGAATTCAATTATCTATTTTATGAATTAAAAAAAATGAAGTTTTCGTATATTACTCTAAGTCGTATAAAGACAAAAACTTTAAGTAGTTAAGTTTTTTAGTTTAACATGTTTTTATGAAAACATTACCTCTTCGATATATCGAGGCCAAATTGTTATTTTTATAAATATCTATACAGGGAGACTTTTCTAGTGTATCCATTTTTTTATTTAATCCTAGACATAAATAATGTTATATAAAAATTATAAACATTTAAAATCACTCGTAAGTAAATAATTACATTAATTTGAACTAATCTCAAAAAGTGAGTGATTCATACGCAACTCGTTTATTTTAGGCACGATCATTCCTAATTATCACGCACACAAGTTCGTTTCAAAAGTATACGACGCATAAATGTCTACATCTATCTATCTGCATTGTGACACGCACACAACTAAATTTTGTTACTACACGCGTATCATAGCACACATAAGTTTATTATTCCAATTTTCCTTCATAATTAGAACGGGCTTAGGACCGTCATAATAAAGGGCATACTAAAATACTACTTTATTATTTTTAAATCACACACCACTGTTCGTATTTATTATGGCGTATTTAAAAAGTGGAATCAACTATTTACAAAAATTAAACTTACCTATTCATTTAGGCACAAAAACACTCGCTGATATTTTAACAATTGTTCAAAATGTCCATTTCTCTAAATACAAAGCCGAAGGGCCTCAATGCGACTCAACGCTACGAGATTGAGAACGGCCGGCGCGGGCGAGACGGACGCGGGAAGAGAGGAAGGGTCGAACGCGATTTATCGTCGCGAGCGCTTCGTTTTGTTTGTGTACGTGCACAGTAAAATTTAGGTATTTATGTATTGACTACCGCATTGTCAACAAGTTCTGTTTCTTAGGGATTAGTATGGCAATTTTTTTGAAAAAACAAAAACTTTATTTTTATTGTAGTGAAGTATGAGGAAGCGGAGGAGGGATAACGCCGCTTAGCGGCGCTTAGCGCGCGAGTTTCGTCGATGCGCCGCTAGACAAAGTCATTCATTACCTAAGTAGTCGTGTTGGCCCCGTGTAAATTTTAACATGTATGATGGAATTTGCCTAATTTAGTGTTTTATAGTACTACGTTACTATGTATTTTAAGGCGCTGTATGCAGTGATTTTTTAACTATTTGGGTAGTGAAAAAGTCATTCATATACCTAAGTAGTGTGTGTACCATGGGCCGTAGGCTTTCGAAACCATGTTTCAAAATGTACACAGATGATCCCTATGATATCTTTTATAGACCATGATTGTATTTTACTTTTATATTATAATAGGAATAATAATAAAAACAAATATAAAGTATGAGAAAGCAATCAACTATTTTAGAAAATCTTGCTGTTTATTTTTTTTTTAATTAAATGGAAAAGGAATTGATTAAAAATACATCTTAAGGTCAAATAAATTAATAAAGGAAATTACTTAGAATTATTATTTTTTATTTTTATGGTTCATATTGTGATTTTAAAGAAATGGCTCATAAAATTTTTGCAGAAATTACGAACACAACTATTTTTATTACATTTTTGAAGTGAAACTTCTTTATCGGGGTTGGAAAAAAATTTAGTGTAACATTTTTGCGTTACGCGCCATCTTTTTATCGGTTTTAATAGTTGACGCTAGATGGCGTTAGTTCCTTTGTGTGTTCATAACAATATATATATATATATGTTATATTAAAGTGATCAACAAAATCAAAGGGTTTATTTTAATTCTAATTCTAAAATGTAAACAATATATTTCGTATTTCAGTTACCATAAGCCATTAATAACACAAATATATAATAACGACATCAATGATAGTAATAATTCTATTACAATTAATGAAATTCAATAATAATATTTGTAGTAATGACAGTGCTAGCTCTAATACTTCAGAGCACGACACTGTAGAGACTTCCGCTTCTTCGAAGCCTCGATCGGCTCCTGGAAATGCGGTTGCGACGTCGATCCAACGTCCGCAAGTTCGGTTTTCCAAAAAAACTTCACTCACAACACTCGCGCGCGAGTCGAATGTCTGCCTTCTACTCACTGGCTGATTTTTTTTTTTTTTGGGCTTGATGAGCCACTGTTGGCCTTAGGGGCCTTTACAGATCCGACGGACTTGAGGTGGCCGGGCGCTCGAGGCGCCTAGCCTGAACCTCGCGTATTTATTATTACGCGTTATGGTGACTAAGCTCGAGGGCTCCCGAAGGAACCTCGGCTCGGGCCGTCACGCTATTTAATTCACCGGTTTGGGAGGCCGCCTAGCTCTTAAGGCGCTTTGGCGGGGGCTCCATGGAGTGATCAGGCTCAAGGGTCCCCGAGAGGGGACCTCGGCTTGGGCTGTCACTCAACACGCGTTTAGCATTCCGATTCGAGGGTGCCCGAGAGGGCCGGACCTCGGCTCGATCGGTAGCTGTTATCTGACTGGGGGGGATCTCTAGAGCTATCGTTACTACCACTTCGTAAAGCGTTGGCGCTGGGAGAAGAAGTGGCGGAAGAAACTCCAGCAACGCTTCTATCTTGAACTGGGGAGAACCTGCCAGGTACGTGGCGGAACCTAGTATATGTTTGCCGCACTCGCCGGCGAGTGCGGTTTGTGTTGGTGTGTTTGCGAAGTTTTTTAATCCTTTCGATGGCGCTAGTCGTCTCATCGTCAGGGAAATCGAGAACGTGTCGCGGTCTACGGTGATTGCGGCGGAACGTACCTAGCGGCAGGGGTCTGTAGGTGGCGGCACCTACGATTAGCGGGTTGGGATGCGCGGCGGCGGAATCGAAGTATCGGCGCGACGCCGACTTCAGGAATTGAGCGATGGTGGGCAACTCTAAATCGACATGAAGGTCGATATTGCGCATGTACCAGGGTGCTCCCGTGGCTCTGCGCAAAAATCGATTTTGGATGACCTGAAACCGGTGTATTTGCTTCGGAGCAATGTGTGCGAAAACTGGACTTGGGTACGTCATGATAGGGCGAACTACTTGCCTTATATAGAGTCACCTTGTTCCGAAGGGACATTTTAGACGTTTTGTTGAGGAGCGGATGGAGGCGACCGAGTACGAACGCCGCCCGGTTCTTGACCCGAGTCACGTGCTGGTTGAATCTAAGTTGGGAGTCAAGGACGACACCTAAATATTTAACTTTGTTCACCCATGGTACCGGACTATCCATGAGTTTAACGGGGGGTGGTTTATCTACGTTTTTATGCGAAAAAAGGACGGCCGCGCTCTTGGCGGGATTGATTTCGATCCTCCATTGCCGAAACCAGTCACCGATGGTGATGGCTGCAGCTTGGAGGCGTCGATGGATAATTTCGGATGTTCTGCCTGCTGTATAGAGACAGGTGTCGTCGGCAAATAGGGCAAGTTCTACATCTTTGACTCGCGGCATGTCATTGGTGTAGAGCGTAAAAAGGACTGGGCCCAACACCGACCCTTGAGGCACCCCGGCTCGAACGGGATGCGTTGTCGAACACACGCCTTCGACGCGATAGCGAAAGGTCCGATTACTTAGGAAGTCTCGTATTATGCATATGAGACGATCGGGCACTCCGAGCCCGTATAACTTGTATACGAGCCCGTTGTGCCAGACTTTATCGAAGGCCTTTGCCACGTCCAAGAAGAGTGCTCCGGTGTTGAGTCCGCGTTGGCGTTTGACTAGTATGTGCTCCGTGATGGGTACAAGAATGTTTGGCTCTAAAGCCAAACTGTTCAGGGATGGGGAGCCCTTTGGCGTCCATAAGGGATCTTAGTCGGGCTAATATTAGTCTTTCACTGACTGACTATTTTTGCGGACCCTCATACTAATTACAACGGTCAAACCATAGTGTGTTTTAATTTACTACTAACGCCACCTATGTATTACAAATAAGAAACTAAATATTATACAAAGCTAAAATGAAATAATTGTAGAATTTGTATTTATGTCTATGATAATAAAAGCCTTTTATTAAACTTTATCTAATTTAACTTTATTTAACCAATTTCTGTAAAGTTGCATATAGTAAATTATTTTTTGAAAAATAACGTCATAAAAAAGTTTCACTTCTTACGAGTGTACGCTAGTACACGCACACATTTTTTATTTTTATATATTAGATATTTAGATCAAGATTAACATATATTTTTTTTGCTTCTATAAAATGTGTAGATTTTGTTAAAAAAATTTTTGAAAAACCAATTTTTACTGCATACAGCGCCTTACATTTTAATTAATTTTTGCAAAGGAAAGAACCTTAACATTTCGAAACTTATTCAAAGGCAACTTATCCAAGTTTAAGTTGGAATCCCTGTACACGTCACTGATCTAATTACTATAAAGAGTTCACGATAAGGCCTATGCCAAAGGTAAACCATAATGGATACAATTTATAAAAGAGTATATCCGGTGTACGCACCGGGCGAAGGGCAGGCGCAGGTCGTAGGGCAAGTGGCAGACGCCGCCCGAGGCCGTCATCACGCGCACGGCGTCGGCGCGCCCCTCCCACGGGCCCGAGCACGGCGTCAGCAGCGCCGGCGTCAGCTCCTCCGCGCTGTGGCTGCGGAACACCTGCGGACACCGCCTCGTTCCACGTCATTCGCCTTCGACTCCTTCATGCCACAGCCGCGACGACACTCACGCTGACCACGGCGTCGGCGAGTTCGCTGAGCAGGGCGGGCGAGGCCCGGGTGGCGTTGCGCTGAGGCGCGTGGAACAAGAAGTCGTCGGCCGGCGTGACGGGCTGCTCGAGGCAGGCGCGCACCAGCTGCGCGTAGGCGCGCGAGCCGCGCTCGGCCAGCGCGTGCGCCAGCAGCGCCGCCAGGGCCCCGCCCGGCACGGCGCGCGGCACGTGCTGCGAGGCGGCCAGCACCTCGCACGTGGGCCGCTCGTCCACCGCGTGCCGCAGCATCCACCTGCGCACGCGTGCCGCTGTAGCTCCGGCCGTCTCCTCGTGACGGGACCAAGGACGGCGGCCCGACCTGAGCAGGTAGACCTGCTTCTCGTTCTGCTCAGTGAGGAAGCTCTCGGGCAGGGCCACCTCGGGCCGGCGCAGGCGCGTCAGCACGGCCACGCGCTCGGCGCCCGTCGCGAACGGCGCGTGGAACATCTCAAACAGGATCACGCCCAGCGAGTACACGTCGGCCTTCTGGTTGTAGAAGGCCGCGCCGCCGCCGCGCAGCTCCGGCGCCACGTACAGCGCGGTGCCCACCTGCGCCACACGACCACCCTCACTCTCTCCGCCTTCCGCCCTCCGCGACCCCCATTAAAACCACCTACATCCCTGTAGATGACTTTTTTCGAACCCACGTCTTCGGCATTCGCGCCCTGGGCTCTAGCCACTGAGCTAAACGGCGACAATCTTTTCGTACTTTTTCTACATATTTTAATGTTCAATCTTAAGTGCAAAGATTAGCACTATAAACAATTAAAATTTGTAAAAGGCAATGGCGACATCTCTCGTTCGAATTATCGTTGTAAAACGATATTCAAAATTGTTTGTATGCTGGAAAGGATATAACAATAGATACGCCAAGCATTGCTTCAAATGCTAAGAAACAATGTAGAAAAAGACGTTAAGATTTTCGTCCGTGTGACAATCAGCCGTTTAGCTCAGGGGCTAGAGCGTCAGGCCGCGAATGCCGAAGACGTGGGTTTGATTCCCACAGCGGCGACAATCTTTTCGTACTTTTTCTACATGTTTTAATGTTCAATCTTAAGTACAGAGATTAGCACTATAAAAAACTTTAATATTAACAGGAGAACCGCCTGTTCGCTTGACCATTTTTCAAATATCAAACCCTATAACTAAGTGCAGTTACTGTAAAATAACTGTATCGAATCCGCCTGTTTCAAGAAGATAGGAGATGAAGCTAAACAGTTGATTTAGGCCGGGAAAAAAGAAGTAATATTGTTACGAACACACAAAGTACAAAGGAACTAGCGCCATCTAGCGTCAACCAGTAAAACCACTCAAAGAATAAAGATAACATGAAACGCCCTACTCAATACTAGATGGCGTTAGAGGAACTACTGTGGAACTATATAGTCTCGAAAACCGGGTACATTCGCGAACTTTCCGGAATCACGATCACGTTCGCGCAAGTCGGGTACGTTCCAGGAAGGAACTTTCTGGAATAGTCTGGGGCTCGTCTCGGCCCATATAAAAAGCCGCAGGGAGGCGAGCCAGTTCAGTTCAGTTTGAGCTACCTTCGAGGCGACTTCGAAGTGACAACTAGTGATCAAGAGTGATACCCGCGAAACGTACGACTTGGCTACAACCTAGGACATCGTCAGTGCTTAGTGTTTGGACCTAGTCCTTTGTGTTGGACCTAGTGCTAGTGAATAAAGTCTTCAAAAGAGTCAGCAGGTCTTTCACCCCAAATCCTTCGAACCCTAACACGTAACAATATTACCATCGACGGCTACAATGATTAATCAAGGCAAATGTGGAAAACGTGAAGATTGTTCTTTAAAGCTGAAAGTCATTGGGAGTGAAAGTATACCAAATCCTGTGAATTTATATAGACGTGGGATTACAGTGATGCATTTGTATAAATTACCACCCACATTGTGAAAGATCACGAAGCACCTTGCGACTTTTTGATAGGAGTAGAAATAGTGAAAGATCCTGTACCTTTCGCTACTAACTAAGCGTACTCATTACTAAGATGGGTGGATCATTTGACTATTTTAATGGCACACCGTCACTATTATAGGAAGAATAATTATTGTGGTTCCTAGGTTCTAGATTTTTCAGGACAGCAGAGTGTTAACTACAAGAATCCATAGGATATAGTTTTATCCCTAAAAGAAACAGTTACAACTAATGCTCAAGCTCAAGATAACCTACTAGAAGAACGCTTTTCATCTTTGACATGTTTACTGCGTGTTATTGCATATTGAAGATGGTTACTAAGTTATAACGAAACAATGAAACTACATATTTAAAAATAAAGAGTACTACATCCTAAATAAAGGTGTCGATTATGCTGGACCAGTTTTCTTAAGAACAACGAAAGGTCGAGGTCATAGGGCGCACAAAGGCTATAAATTTTTATTTATGTAAATATGCATTATTTTTCTGAATAGTTATAAGGTGAACTTGATGTTATTATTAGTCAGATTAGAGTCAATTTATGTTAGATTTGTTGATCTCAAAACTTGGAGGGGACAAAACAAATAGTGTAAGATGGACCAAATACTCACCTCACCAGTGAGTCCACTTTCACCTTCTTCTTGCGATTTACTTTTATCTGGGAAATATAGCTTTAATAAATAAAAAGTCATCGAGGACATTGAACTAGGCATTATAAAAAGTATTTTACTAACCATCGGCTGACATCCTTGAGAAAATTTTCGTGGCTAATCCAAAATCACCAATTTTGACGTGGTCGTTGGAATCCAAGAAAATATTAGCCGGTTTTAAGTCTCTGTGAATCATTCCCTTACTGTGCACGTGGCCCAGGCCCTCCAGAATCTCCCGGAAGAGCCGCCACGCCCTCACGGGGTCCTCGTGGAGCCCTTGGTCGATCGCTTGGCGCAAAGTGTGCTTTTCGCAAAATGCCATTTGAATGTAGAGGACTTGTTGCGTGCTCTCGACGAGTTGGGAGCTCTTCGACGCCGTCGCGCTCTGGGACGTTTCCATCGTCACCACTTTCTCGCCATCGTGATTCGAGCCAGCCGCGCCACTCTTGCACTCTTCATCGTCATCTAGGAACACCACGCCACTCGAATCCTCCTCTGGACTGATAACCGAACAAAATAATAATTTTACATTTATGGTACAGTTGTAATCTGATTGGAATTAGCGACACTGAAAGTACTACCTGAGCGTCCAAGGGTCGGGATCGTCGTCCTCGTCGTCGTCCTCGTCGTCCTCGTCGTCGTCTTCGTCGTCTTCGTCGTCTTCGTCGTCGTCGACATCGTCGGCGTCCTGGGCGTGGTCGCGGGGCGCGTGGGGGGCGCGCGGCGGCTGCGGCTGGCGGCTGGACATGGACCACTCGATGCTGACGGCGGGCGGCGGGGCGCCGGGCGGCGCGCTCGTGCTCTCGATCCACGCGTTGTTGTAGCGCACCACGTTCTCGTGGTTCAGCCGCGACAGCAGCGTCACCTCGCGCGTGATCTTGCGGTTCAACGCCACGTCCCGCGGATTCAGTTTGATGCGCTTTATCGCGTACACGCCGCGGTCCAGCTTATTGCGCACCTGATGACCTCGCCAAATGTTACGGTATTTTTCGCCAAGAATTCCAATTACATAGAACAAAGTGATAAACATATACATTAGCGAAAATACCTAGTGACTCTACCATTTCTTGTTACATAGATCATACGCATACAAGGTATAATAATGAACGAATATTGGAACCTTTTAAACGAAACATTTACCTTTACCACATCTCCGAAAGCACCCTTTCCGATCCACGACAAAATTTCAAATTCCTCGGACAAGCGCGAAGAGCTGTTGTTAACGAAGGCGAAGTCCTTCAACTTGGCGCTGTCCTCCTCGTCCTGCGGACAGTGGACGTGCGGCTGAGCGAGTGGGGGGGCGCGGTTGGGAGGGGGGGCGGGGCGGGGCGGTGGTAGGCGGGGGGCGTACCTCCGGCTGCGCGGGGGCGGGCGAGGCGCGCGGCCTCTCGGGCGCCTCGCACAGGAACGGGTGCGCCACCAGCCGCTCGGCCGGCCACTGCGACTGCTCGTCGGCCGCCAGGCACCTGCCGAACGGACATAAAAGTAACAGCCTATACTCGTCTTACTGCTGGGCAAAGGCCTCTTCTATAGACAGGGTATGAATAATTCAACAATTTCATTGGTGGGCACCGGGGATCGAACTCAAGTTGCTCGAGTATATTGAATTAATTAAAAGCGAGCGCCCGTAGACTGAGCTTTCACGGCTCCGAAGGGACATAGTTATCGACATTACCACCAGCGAATACAGAAATTATTTTAATATCCTTTGTAAACTAACGCACGAGAGGCAATAAGCGATGGTTAAATGGACTGGTTGGATGGCTAAGCGAATGGTGGTTTAATTGGATGGTTCTTACAAAAGAACAAGATAGACGATCACTATCGATAGTCAAAGTCAAAGTCAAAGTCAAATATCTTTATTCAATATAGAAGCATTCACTTACTTATTGATAGTCAAAAAAAACTCTACCACCGGTTCGGAAGGTAAGCCACTGACCTGAGAAGAACCGGCGTAAGAAACTCAGCGGGACATTATTTTTTTTTTTTTACTTGCCAAAAAAGTTACAAATATGTGTACAATTATTAGACTCCTATTAAACTCCACTTGAAAGAGCCTGGAGCGATCAATTCATTTCCAGAGTGTGTTATCATTCATATAATCACTAATACTATAATAGCCATTAACACACAAACGTTCCTTTACAAGTTTTTTGAATTTAGCAACAGATTCATTTTGAACGTTTTCTGGGATTTTGTTGTAAAAGCGTATACATTGTCCCATAAAAGATTTACTTATTCTACGCAATCTAGTTGAGGGTAGAACTAATTTATGCTTGTTCCTAGTATTTACATCATGCACATTACTAAATTTTGAAAAGTCATTCTTATTTTTGTGGACATACATAACATTAGCAAGTATGTACTGAGAAGCTACAGTCAATATTTTTATTTCTTTAAACAGGTTTCTTAGTGAGTCTTTGGGGCCCAGGTTATAAACCGCTCGAATAGCTCTCTTTTGCAGGATGAAAATAGTATTTATGTCGGCTGAATTTCCCCAAAGTAGAATGCCATAAGACATTATACTGTGGAAATAGCTAAAATATACCAGACGAGCCGTATCCACATCAGTCAACTGTCTAATTTTTTTGACTGCAAAGACTGCTGAGCTAAGTCTACTCGACAGTTTATTAATATGGGGGCCCCACTGCAATTTGGCATCTACGGTTATGCCAAGAAATACAGTCGAGTCAATGAGGTCTAACGCTTCCCCATGTAAAAGTACATCAGTTTTTACACTTTTTACGTTGGGAGTTGTAAATTTAATACATTTCGTTTTTTTACTATTCAACATTAAGTTGTTAGCACTAAACCAATGCACTACAGTGGAGAGAGTATTGTTAACGTCGTCATAATTTGAAGAATGTCGTTTAACTTTAAAAATTAAAGAAGTATCATCAGCAAACAATACTATCTCATGATCATTATTTACAAGATAGGGCAGGTCATTTATGTAGATGAGGAAGAGAAAAGGCCCCAGAATAGATCCCTGTGGAACCCCCATACTTACCAGGGCCCCGGGAGATCTCTTGCCATTCACGTCAACTCTCTGAACACGATAGCTCAAGTACGATGTCAGAAGATTGAGTGCGGCATCTCTTATACCATAGTGGTTTAGTTTCCTGACCAGAGTGTCATGCTGTACACAATCAAATGCTTTAGTTAAGTCACAGAATATACCTAAGGCATCCTGTGACTCTTCCCAGGCTTCAAAAATATTCTTCACAAGCTGGATACCCGCATCTGTTGTTGAGCGACCCCTAGTAAATCCATATTGCTTGTTATGCAGCAATTTATGTGTACTAAAATGGAGTAACATTTGATTCAAAATAATTTTTTCAAAAATTTTACTAAGAGTCGGTAGTACTGAAATAGGTCTAAAATTGCTGGGGTCAGAAGTACTACCAGATTTGAACACCGGAATAATCTTACTATGTTTCATAAGGTCAGGAAACTCGCCACGTTGAATACAAATATTAAAAATAGTTGCTAAGTAAGGTGAGACTACATCAATTATAGAACTGATCACCTTGACAGAGATCCCCCATAGATCAGCAGTTCTTTTAATATCTAGAGATTTGAATGTTTTTATGATATCGTTCTTATTAACAGTAGTAAACTTAAAGTTTTCTTTACATTCCATAACATTTTTCTTAAGTAATGATTCGGCAATTGTCGGAGAAGAGAGAAGTGACTTAGTTGTAGAAACAGGAATGTCAGCAAAAAATTTCTCGAAAAAATTGGCAACCTCCTGATTAGATTGAATAGTATTAATACCATCAGTTAAGGTTAAGTCAGAGTTGCGCTTCGTAAGTCTACCCGTTTCACTATTTATTATATTCCACGTCATTTTGATTTTATCAGATGCGCTTTTTATTTTATTTTTAATAAATATTGATTTAGCCAGATAACAAACTTTTTTAAATATTTTAGAATAGGCGCTAACATAAGCTACAAAAGAATTACTGTGATTGAATGTCCTTTCATTATACAGTTCATACAGTCTACGCCTACTCTTATGAATTCCGACTGTTGCCCAATCATTGAAAACTGCAGAGCTTTTACGATTGACTGTCTTAGAAGTAAATATAGCATTAAATTCAGTTTTAATTAATTTAAATAATGTGTTGTAAAGCGCATCTGGACTGTCATTATAAGGTAAATATGTCAGCTTTTTTGTTATATTACTTCTAAACTTCTCAATACGAGTTCTATTTACAGGAACAAACATTATTTTTTGTAATTTATCATCACTACTTTTGTTATATAATTTAAAAATTGCAAGTTGTCCACAATGGTCTGAATTTAACATATTAATAATTGACTTATCGATTGGTTCATAATTTGTAAATATATTGTCTATACAAGTTGCCGAAGAAGTAGTGATTCTAGTTGGTTCATAAAATAGGTTAGAAAGGTTATATGAATTTAACAATGATCTGAATCTAATAGTGGTGGTAGAATTTTCTAGAAGATTTATGTTAAAGTCACCACAGACAATCATAAATTTATTAGATTCAGATAATTTCAATAATATTTCTTCCAATCTATTTTCGAATGATTCATATAACGCACTAGGAGGTTGTATACGCATACAACAATGAAATGCTCAAGCTCTGCACAGGCTATTTCAATAGTCTGCTCAACAGAGAGGCTCACAATATCTTTACGGTTTTTAAATTTCACAGCATTATTGATAAGTATTAGAGAGCCACCACGTATAGCTTTTTCTCTGCTGAACAGGCTAGCAACCTGGTGACATCTGAAGTTAAACATAAATTGATAATCCAAGAGCCAATGTTCAGTAATACATAAAATGTCAATATTATTGCTGTTTAAGAATAACTCAATTTCAAGATCTTTATTTAGCATTCCTTGGATGTTTTGATGCACCAGGCTTATACAATTATTGCCATTTTTATAATTTATATTTTTGGTTAATATTCTTGGACAATTCATTAAATTATTACAATAATTCAAATTATTTATAATTAATGTGCCTGAGATTGCCTCCGTTGTCTTGTTATTTAATTTAAATTAATTGGAATAGTATCAGCTATTCCTCCCGCTGGAGGCACGCACCTGGAGAAGAAGTCGGCCGCGGCCGCGGGCAAGGGCAGGGCGCGCTCCCCGCTCGGCGCCAGCAGCGCGCGCAGCGTGGCGCCCGCCATCGCCACGTCCTGGGAGCGGCTGTGCCTGCGCAGTGGCGCCGGGACGCTTTACACTTGCGCGTTCACATTGCTACATTAGCTATATGTTATGTATACAAGTTGACAACGCCCATACTGTCGGTGCTACGTGTCCCACTGCCAAATATAAAAAAGTGAATTTCTCACATATCGCACGAGTCGTCGTCGCGTATCAGTTCGACCACCCTCGCATCGATACAGGCGCCGACCAGTCTGACGGCGCCACCGTCCTGCAGGAATATGTTGCCGGCGTGCACGTCGCGGTGCAGCAGGCCGGCGGAGTGCAGGGCGGCCAGCGCGGCCAGCACGGGCGGCGCCACGTGGCGCACCAGCTGCAGCGCGTCCACCGCGCCGAGCAGCGCCCGCGCCGTGGCGGCGTAGCGGCGCAGCGACACGCCGCCCACGAACTCGCGCGCCGCGTACAGCTGGTGGCGGGGCCCGCGCGCCGCCACGTGCACGCCGCGGTAGGGCGCCAGCGCGCCCCCCGCGCCCTCCGCGCCCGCCGCCGCGCGCACCGCCAGCGCGCGCAGCACGGCCGCGTCGCGGCGCAGCGCCTGCAGCCGCCGCTCGCGGCGCGCCACGTCCGCCGCGGCGGGCAGCTCCCAGCGGCGCACGGCGCACGCCGCGCCGGCGGCCGCCTCCAGCGCCCAGTGCACGCTGCCCAGCCGCGAGTGCCCTGCGCCCACCGCCGCCGGTCTCACTCGCACTCGCCCGCCGCGGGAGTCCTTCCCCTCCCTAGCGGAGCACCTACCCAGACAGGTGCCCACGTAGTACTTGCTGTTGGAGGCGAAGAAGCGCACCACTCGGACGCCGTGCGCGGTGCACGTGCAGGTGCCCTCGCCCCCCGCGCCCCCCGCGCCCCCCGCGCCGCCGTCGCCCGCGGCGCCTTCCCACGGCGCACCGCGCATCTCCGCGTAGCTGCACGCCGCAATGCCAAATTTGCCATTCTTTATAATGACCACCAAAAGTCGAGGTATCTTTCATTTGAACTAAGAAAGACGGTTATTTATTTATTTCCCCACCGTTCGTTGTCGCTGTGTCTGGGACCATGCAGAGGGGGGCACACTGAAATGATCGGGGATAAGAAAAACAACATGCACAGCAAAGCTAAACTGTATTTTAGTGTTTTTCGAAGTATTCTCAGTTCAACTTAATTGACTTTTCCATTCGTGCAAACCAATCATTAAAATAGTAATTCCAGTCTGGAGTTGATGTTGACAAAATGGCTGATTTGTACGCTTCCGCAACTCTTCGCATCTGTCATTCTAGATTGCGCCAAGCATTGCTTCAAATGCTAAGAAAACAATGTGGAAGAATGCGTTAAGATTTTCGTCGGTGTGGCAATCAGCCGTTTAGCTCAGTGGCTAGAGCGTCAGGCCGCGAATGCCGAAGACGTGGGTTCGATTCCCACAGCGGCGACAATCTTTTACTTTTTCTACATATTTTAATGTTCAATCTTAAGTGCAAAGATTAGCACTATAAACAATTAAAATTTCAAAGTAATAGGTAGTTTTTATTTCCAGTAAGTTTTTGGAACTGAATCAATATAGACATAAAAAGATTAAAAATTCAAATCAAATCCAAATGTATCGGCCCAAAGGCAGTGTTAAGATTAACCAAAGGAACAAAAACCTCGATTGGAATGAAGACTATAGACTTCTCCAATTTTCCCCCGAAAATTTATGTATTAAATCATCCATAGCGAAGACGATTTCACTTTTTCTAGATTTTCTGCTGCTATATAAAATAGTGACTTATCTGATATCCGTTCCTGACCCATAGAAATCTTTAGATTTATCGGTTTTAATTACGAAAAACTAATTTTCACCTGTTGCAGTAGTAACCTGAAGGGCTAGAAATAGAAAGCATGCTGATATTATCTCATGAAAACGATGCAAGATACAAGGCTATTAAATTTTATCCGAAATAATTACGTGAGCTCTATAATGGAATGAATTTATAAATTTCCAGGGTTTAAACGTTTTATAAGTAGTTGTTCATACAGAGCAACTGATATGTCGCGACTGTTTTAGCAGACAGTTGTGTTTTGTCCACATCTTTTTTATTATTTACTGAAAAGAATGCTTAGTAAAATATAAACTTTCTATAAGTCATTATTTTCATTAGCTGTAGTATTGAAGATTTCTAATAGTGAAGAAAAAAAGACGATAAGCATTATAAATAAATTCTCTGCGTGTTAATTATATTTTTACTTTCGCTAAAATTAATTTAGTTCCCACAAAATTTTCATTATTAATTAATAATTATTCCTTAAAGCGTCGTTTCTCGAACATCTTCTAGCATTCATCTTTTCAGATGGATCGAAACTCAATATCGATCAGCGTTTTAATATTCTTACTAAAAACGTATAAATTTTGTCAAATTACCCATTATGATATTTCTAATATGATACATTTTCGACATGTCTCTACTGTAGCCGAAATAATCGCCAGAAATCGAGCTTTGTTTAATTTATAACAATATTTTTCTCTAACTGCACTAATCGACCAACCCAAATTAACAATTTCATTTTGAATCGTATAGATACAGAATAATGACCTGTTAATGGTAGATTACATGATGTGTCAAGTAATTTTAACATTACATCTGGCTATTACTGAACAAACATGGCCAAAATCATGTATGACTTTATTGATCATGTAGGAGAATGAGTAAATAGATGATATACTATATATCATTTATTTTTCCCGAGACGTACGACTTAAGAATTTAAGTTATTGTGGAATATTTGCTTTCATCAGTTGGGGGCCCCGTATCATTGATATGGCTGACACAGCGTTAGCTACGCCCCGATAATATGATTTTATTTACACGTTTTTAGCTGAAAGAAACAATATTTTTGTGGCCTCCAAACTCTAATCTCTTAGATTGGTTATATTTATATAATTTTAAAGCCTTGTTTAGGATTTTTTCAACGAAACAGGAAGGCTTTTGGGGCCCCCCAGGATTTGGGGCCCGGGGTAGATCGCCCCTTCCACCCCCTGGTGAGTCCGCCACTAGTTGCAGATACGTGGCCAATTGACTTTGGCAAAGCGTGCCAACTGACCGCCACTGCCCCCTTTACCGTATCGCAAGCCACGAGATGCACGCAAGTGTTGCCCAATGTAAGCCGAGATGGGCGCCATGTGAAATATTGACCAGAGCAGCCGCGGCGCGTCCTCGGCCCCGTCCGCCGCGCGCCCCGCCTCCCGCAGCGTCTCCTGCCGCTTCAACAGCTCAGCCCTCACTTTCTTGGCCTGCGGAGTAAAGCGCGCTCCTATCAGGTACCGATTACCGTCCACCCGCGTGCCGCTAAGACAAAGCGAGGCCGTTGCATCAGATGAGCTTACTTCTTCATTCTCTTTCACTTGCAAATCTCGTTTTTTCATCTCCTCCAATTCATTCTTCTCTTTTACCATCTGCTCGTAGAACGACAGAGTGGGCTTGTTGTGATCGTGAAGGAATTGCTGAAATTAGTAGAAAACAACATTAGTATTATTATATTTTGTTCAAATTATTTTCTTTATAATTAATAATTTTTTATACTTCCCACCTGGGTATGATGAGCCAACTGAAATATCATGACTTCACCACATAGACTAGAGGCGAGGGTCTCCAAGTCTTTTATCAGCTTATTTGTATTCTCTACAGATAATCCGCGCACACTTTTTGCTGTAACTTTTGGGGGCCTAAAACAGTTGTAATATTATTTAAAAATAAATAATTATTATTTATATCGCTCAACCTATAACAATTTACTTTATGATATGATTTTTATTTACTTTTCGTACCATTATAAAAACTGGAAAAAACACGTCTGTTGTATGGGAGCCCCAATAAAATATTGTTTTATTGAAGAAACATTTAATGAAGCTTTTATATAAAAAAAAGTGTTCACTTTGTAAAAGACAATATCACGAAAGTCTAATAAGGAAGGCATACTTGTTTGGATAATTGCGACAACACTGGAAACGCAGCGTAACTGAACAGTGCGCACCCGCAGAATCGTGCAGCGGCAGCAGTGTCACCTCCACATCCAAAGGTCTCCAACTCCCATCAGTTTCCTCCCAGTTATTCTGCTCATCACCATCTCGCGCTACAACAGCCTCGCCGTATATGGACTGTAAACCATTTTTTTAATAATTAAGATGATTGTTACATCCTAATGTAACTAACATAATATATTATTTGATTAGCACGAAATGTGATTGTGTATACTTTATATGATTTAGTTATGTAATAGAAATAAAATATTGTACTTGTTTAAGAGACAACTACAGGGTGAAATTGAAGTCATGAGTGTCCTTTTAAACTATGACCCTATGCATGATTCTAGTAACATTAAGACTAAAATTATGTTAATCAAAATTATTTATACATTATATTAATGTAAGTGCGGAAATCCTCAAAAATCTAGTTAACATTGAGTACTTACAATATTTTGTGGTTACATTACAATACGATATTATTGCAAATAATCAGAAAAAATAATAAAAAAACGTAACGAAGAAATAGGTCCACAAAGTGAAGAGAAAATTATGAAGTGTGGCGGATTAAAACAACCGCCGCGTCTAATTTAAATTTAGCAACCGAGTCGCCTCTGATTGGTCGGCGACCGGGGAGTTCCCTCTGCCTCCACGCTCGCCGCTCGGGCCGCGACGGTCAACTTGTTTTTATTAACAATAACATTGTTTTAAGGGTGAAAGGATTGTGAAATTATGTAAAAATCCTTATGATCAATATAAATAACAGTGAGCACACTCCTGCGCTTTATTGAATGGCATTCCGCTCATTTCATGCCATATAAGTAATAATAATTAAAGTTCAATGTCCTTCGTATGGCGGCCGGCCCGGTACAAAGCTAAAGCCCACCAATTTGCCTAACGAATTGCACCCGTGCCACTCGTGACCTCTTTGTGTAAGTGTTCTGTGCTCGTGACTCGCGCCAGTGACGTAACGATTACCCGGATGCGTTCACGCATGTTTTGGATTTGAAATACGTCGCGCGCACATTTCCTGGCTGCGCTACTTTTTGGGCTGCAGTTTTGAGTTTACTAAGTGCTCTAGTGAACAGATTGTCTAAAAAACAATGCTTCGACCGCTTGACGTGTAAGCTACAATGTGTCGAAGGTTGTTAACAATGTTTTCAATTGGTTTTACTGTACCTACCATCGCATAGACAATTACACAACAGTACAAACTCAAGAAATGTTCCATCGCGAGGTCTCATTTTATGAACCGCGCAGAACTTTTGGATTTTGTCGAGTAGAAGAGCGCCAGTTTACCTCATATCGCGATATATCGCCACTAGCCAATATCTACAACAAGCAGCGCGTCGTTTTAACCTTAGTTAGTACGAAACCTTTACTTCTTTTTAATAATATCTAAATAATTTTTAATTCAGGCAATTTAAGTCATAATGTTATTAGGATCATGTACGGGGTCCTAGTTTAAAAGGATGCGCATAACGTCAATTTCACCCTGTATATTAATAAAAAAAGTTAAGTAACAGCCTATACATGTCCCACTGCTGGGCAAAGGCCTCCTCTATACTGAGGGTATCTGGGCATAGTCCACCACCGTCCCCACTGCGGATTGGCGGACTTCACATATCGTTGAAATATATTTTGTTATTAAATCGAAAATATGCAGGTTTCCTCACGATGTTTTCCATCACCGCGGAGCACGTGACAAGTTAGCACTTAAAGTTAAAAACTTCATTGGTGCCTGCACCGGGGATCGAACTCAGGTTGCTCGAGTATATTGAATTAAAGGCGAACACCCGGACACTGAGCTATCACAACTCTTATATATCTATCACGGCTCTATATTAATACTTAAAACACAAAACGAATAAATAATATACACAAATATAACACAACAAACATAACAAAACTGATAAATTAATACTCAAAATTAAGTTTATGATATCGCTGAACAATAACTGTTGTCACCCTGTTGAAATAAATACATTCATACAGCGTGCCGTTACCACCGCGACAATAAATGAAAACACATATAGAGGATAACTTTTTAAAATTGTATTAAACATTTACATTCTTTAAACATCAATATTTACCGAGTTATTCAATTTTCCAAAACAAACAATTTTAGAACACCCTTACGTATAAAACTATAACGTAAAGTTCATTTGTAAAGGTCACAAAGTATATGAATGGGTTGAATGAATTTAAAAGAGACAAAACATACTGTTAGAAGGAGAGGCTTGTAATGCGACGCTGTGGCGCGATTTGTATAGGATGTTACAAATTTTGTTTCTTTTTTACTTAATTAGTTTGTTTGAAAAATATTTTTCTTTAATTACGGATTTTGTTTAACGTTAATATTTTTTATGATTATTGGCAAGTAGCGTTAGACGTGTGTTCATTTATTGTCGCGATGGTAACGACACACTGTATCAATAAATATTGATAAAATACTTTAAGCATGTGAAACCTTATATATTATTAATAGCTCCTTTTATTGTTGCGCGCTTAGCACAGAAGCTTAAACGTTATACTCATAGTACCTACAGATATTAAATTCTCTAACTCTACACAAATTTCTAATTTTTAATTACAAGCCTTAAGAGATGGTAGTGTTGTTTGTTTGAATTTCCTTATCTCTGAACTACCACTACCTACCAGATTTGAATGATAATGAAAAAAAAAAAAATGGAAACGCCTACTAGCATTCCTCATCATTATCTGCAAAAACACAAAAAAGAAGTAATCACAAAGTTTTCATTTTTGCAGAGGACAAATACTTTATTACATTTACTGTTACCATATTATATTTAACACATTAAACTCTCTTTTATGCACAAATAATATTTACTTTATTAGGAAACTATCAACTTCATTTGATAGTTTCCTAATAAAGTAAATATATAATGTTAGCTGCTTCGCATTTATTATTGAGATAAATTTTAAAGTTTTTATCAATCATTTTTTCCGTCATTTAATTGAAGAAATAATTCAAAATCACTAAAGATGATCCCCATATCTGATGTCACGGTAATACAAATATTGTAGTTTAAGACATTTTGTAAATGGGCATTAAATAAAAAAATAATATAAAGCGGTTTGCATATTGTCAGCATTAATTGAATTAAACTGTATACTTTCTGAATTTGGCATTATCCATAATTAAGCTCAGTCTAATGAATTTCCAACAGAATGAAAAATTAAGATTATCCATGTGTTGCTAAAAGGTATTTAAATTACATCTCAATCTCTCTAAAAACATTAATTTGTCTATATACACAAGTTGGCCGTGATAGCTCAGTGTCCGGGCGCTCGCCTTTATTTCAATATATACTCGAGCAACCTGAGTTCGATCCCCGGTGCCGGCACCAATGAAGTTTTTAACTTTAAGTGCTGAACTATCATGTGCTCTGCGGTGAAGGAAAACATCGTGAGGAAACCTGCATATTTTCGAAATAATAACAAAAAAATATATTTCGAAAATATGTGAAGTTCGCCAATGCGCAGTGGGGCCGCGTGGTGGACTATGACCTGATACCCTCTGTATAGAGGAGGCCTTTGCCCAGCAGTGGGACATGTATAGGCTGTTACTTTACTTTACTTTTTACACAAGTTTATTAATGAAACACATGGTGCATATATTAATTACTAACTGTTAACCGCACATTAACAATGAGAATTTATTATACACCAGAATATCTCACAGATGGCTCAATTTTTTTCTACTTAGTTGACACTTATATTTTGGACAATTCACACAATATCTTTATAAATTATATTCACACAATATCTTTCTGATGTATAAGCTATATTATTGAAGTTTCATTAAAACCTAGTCCGTAGTTTTTATGTGAAAGAGTAACAAACATCCATGCATACATACAAACTTTCATGTTTATAATATGAGTAAGTATTATATCATCAATACATAAAAACAAAATTAGAAAACTTATCACGACAATAATTAGTGACTTCATATTATAAATATGGTGGAAAATAATTAACCTACACAGATAGTGTAGATCAGTGCTAGTTTACTTTAATGGTGAAAGAGCCATGCAGGAGCTTTTGCTGTTGCATGAATGGGTAAGCTCATCTGGGGAAGTATACCATGGCCTCACAGAAGACATATGTGAAGTGAGTGTATTATACTTTGCATTCTTATGATGAGCTCTAGCCTGATGAGATGAAGAGCTGAGCCAGAGCTCATTTACTTAATGGTTGACAATGCATCTACAACCTGTCAGGTATTGTAGATGTAGTGGACATTTAGGGTCATTACTAATTTACCATTATCAATCAAAACCATTTCCAACATGGTCAAAATATTGTATTGGTATAATGAACTTGTATATGCTTTTACTGAAATTAAAGATGTAGACGAATGTGACGTTGTTAGATCTTGTAAATAATTATAAGGTAAAACCCAATTTCGAAAACAAGAGTGAATAACTAAAGTAACATTTAATTTTATCATTTAATAGCAATAAATTTAGTAAACTTTACGTGTTTAAGATAAGAGACAGTAACAAAATATGTCATTTTTGGTTCGTTTATCTCTAAATTTCCAGAAAATATTTGAGTTTTATAACCTTTAATGCTACTAGCTCATTATTTTGTCGTTCCTCAGGTGTGTCCTCGCACATTTTGTGATTACATTCACTATTATACTATCGGTCATATAGTGTATTAGTTCTTTTTACACGTAGTATCGTAAAAATAACAAAATAAAAAAGTAAACACAAACTTCTAGTACTAGGCGACAAATTATTAATTCCTTGACTTGACGAGTGACTGACGTAGACGACGTTTGTGACACTGTAGCAGTGTTACCAACTCTCGAAAATATTTGTCTTTAACACTTAAGGGTGCGTTCCACTAGGCGCCCACAACGATCAAAATGCTCCTTTGGTCGTTCCACATAGCGACCGCGGTCGTTGTGGTCTCGGCGAAAACGTCACTTATGATGTGATGACTTACGCTCACGTGAAGCTCACGACGACCCATCTCAAAAGGTGGGTCGGAGTAATCGTTGAGAAAATTAGCGGCATTTTTAAAATTAAAAATGTCATAGTTCAAAGTGTCACCGTAAAAGACATTTTAGTTACATTTGAACGTGAATTTATTAAATACACCACTAATATTGAATATAAAAAATAATTATAATTTTTTTCAACATAAATCAATTTAAACAATAATTATTTAAGTTTATTTTCAAAGCTTACAGATTATAACCTAACCTCTGAAATCTTTTGCTTCCTTTTTTCTAACTCGCCGTTTGTATTATTTACCGCCACGAACAAAACGCTCTATAATTCATTCCACTTGACTTTACGACAGTAACGCTCACAAGCAAGTGGAACGGGAAAAACTGCGGTCGTGAGCGTGATCGTTGTGAACGCTTAGTGGAACGCAACCTAAATCAAAAATCCCTAAACCTCCTTACAATGTAATATTATTAAAAAAATGTGAACCAACTAAGATTTTTGCCTCAATTTCCTAATGAATGGTTTAAATGCAGTGCAGAATATTGCCGCAAAAATATTGGTCTGATAAAAAATATTAAAAAAGAAGTTGTAGAGAAGTTATTAAAAAAAAATTGTCTCTCATGATTTCTTTAGATGACCAATACTTTTACCGTAATTCCTAAAATGAGATTCATTAGAATTATAAAAAAAAAAATTAAGTGCTTTGGCACTTTATTTAAAACTGTCGCCGATGAATGTGTTTTGACGTTTACTTTTAATTGACATATACGGTTCTCTTTATCTCTTCTCTTCATAGATAAGACATATACAGCGTCTCGTTACCATCGCGACAATAAATGAACACACGACTAACGCTACTTGCCAATAATCATAAAAAAGTATTATCCTTAAAAAAATCCATAATTAAAAAAAATATTTTCTACATGTTTTAATAATAAAAAAAATTTTTTAAACAAAGTAATTAAGTAAACAAAAAACAAAATTTGTAACATCCTTTACAACTACAACCGACTGATTCATGCATTCCGAGACTTTTTCATTCGTTGCCACAGCATCGCGTTACAAGCCTCTCCTTCTAACAGTATCTTTTGTCTCTTTTTAATTCATTTAACGCATTCATATGCTTTGTGACCTTTATAATTGAACTTTACGTTACAGTTTTATACCTAAGGTTGTTCTAAAATTCTCTGTTTGGCAAAAGTTATCCTCTATATGTGTGTTAATTTATTGTCGCGATTGTAAAGACACGCTGTATACTGAATTTCTAAGGAGTGATAAACGCATTGTAAGGAGTGATAAACCGCTTCGCTAAGTCAACTGTGTGTAGATTACGTTACTCAAGGCCCTTTATTTTTGTTCCTTTATTAAAAATAAATGAGCCGTCACGCCTGGCAGATGTGAAACATCGACATTATTTTGTACAAGTAATATGCAGAAAAGAACATTGTGATAGGAACTAAATATGTCATAATGATATGACATATTATATTTTTTTCTAGATAACGATGACTATTTATTGAATAAACATTTATTTTCATTCGGTTTTTTTTTTTCGTTTTCCCCCTGACATGTAGGATCAGGGACCTTTTTTGTCAAGCTCTTTTCATACTCTGGGTACGTTGTTCTTTTATGTTTTTAAAAGTGGTAACAAATTTTCAATTTTACTAAGTTCTACAAAGTTCTACTATTTCTATTACTATTACTACTAGTTTTACAATTAATATTTACTACTACTGGAAAATAGCACTACACGAAACTATTTACATACTTATATCTAGTTACAATATTCTCTTTACTTGTGCCTTACTCTCTTATATTTAATACTTGTCCACTATCACAACTTACTACTATACTTTACTTTACTATGTTTATTCATCTTACAATAATACATTTCCTTACTTCTAGTAAATCTGTATCTGTTATCTATAACTTTACGGTATTTATTATCTACTGTTCTAGTTATTCTATATCTATTATACTATCTTCTATGTTTGTTTTGTCTTATTTGTCATACCGGTGGGCTTGGTATGGCATACTTGTGTGTATGTCGTACAAGCCTCTTTTGTTTCTTTTACTTATTTTTCTTATTTGCGATTTTGACTATTTTTTTACAGAATCCTAGAAATGTGTCTCTGATCTCTGTGTTTGTCATGATGTTATGAATATTTGTCGATGTTATTTTACTATTAATTGCTATTTCCAAGTCTATTCTGTCGCGTTCATAGACAGGGCACTCTGTCACTAAGTGAATTGCGGTTTGCTCTGTCTCCGCATCGCACTCGCATGCAGGGCTGCCTCTGCACTTAAATCTATGCAGGTAGCCTGCAAAGCCTCCGTGGCCTGTCAGCAGCTGCACTAGTAGCGGATCCAGATCTATTTTTCTTATTAGGTGGTGCACGTCTTTTCCTATGCTGGGGAAGAAGATCTTGGTAGTTGAGGCGGTCTGCTCTTCCTGATATCTACGGTTCCACTCGTCAATGGACTCCTGACGAATACTCCCCTTGACGTATGAAACCGGGCATCTGTCGTAGTGTGGCCTCGTTTTGATAGTGAGGCCTCCTTTGCCAGGAAATCTGCTCTTTCGTTTCCCTCCAATCCCGCATGGGCCTTGATCCAGTAGAGGTCAAGGGAACCGCCCTGATTGTTCAGGTTTGCGATATTTTCCCTCGCCTCTACGGCCATGGAGTGCAGGGAGTCGCTGCGACTGATCGTTTCAAGAGCAGATCTTGAGTCGCTATATATTGTGCAGCCTCGTGCAGGATCCCTAAGTGCCACGGTTAGGTTAGGTTTTTTTTTTTTTTTTTCTTATCCCCCCTGATATGTGTGATCAGGGCCCTTGTTTTCTTTCTTTTTTGTATCTTTTCTGTTTATAAAGTTTATTACATAGGTACTTATTATCTTCATTCCTTTTTGCTTTTTACAATGATTCTTACCTTCTATTACATTTTTGTTCTTATTTTCTACATACATTTTCAACAACGTTGTGTGTTGTGTACTATTACTGCTTACATTTTACTTAGTACAGTTGTTACATACTTATTTTTGCTTTTTTGCAGTGATTCTTACATTCTATTTCTTTCCTTTCTTTAAAGATCAATTTACATTTATTTGTATTTTTAATAAGCCTCCTTACATCTATCTTATTTTCTAATTGCATTTATATTTATTAACACTTAATTAGTTACCATCTTTACTCTAGTTTAATATACTATCTATTTAATATAACTATACTTTATCTATTTGTTTTATCATTTTAACAATCTCTTAAATGTTTTGAGAGCTTATGTTCTACTTTGTTTATGTTTTACGCTAGACCACTTACACCTTACTTTACATTGTTTTTCTTACTATTTACTTTTCTTAATATTGTTCCGGTATTGAGGTTCATACACTAAAGTATTAAGTCAATACAACTGTTTTCCTACTTATTTTGTGCGCCATTCTAGGTTGTGAGCAAGTGCGTTAGTTGTTTTTAATATGCGATGGTATAATATATTCTATTTATTTTTGATCTTCATTTTGGTTACAATGTATTTACAAAAAGCTAAGAAATCGTCTCTAGTATTTTTCTGATTTATAAGTTCACATAGTGCACTTGTTTCGATTTTCGTTTCTGTTTTTACTTCGAGGTAGGCTCTTTCTTTGCCGAATACCGGACAGTTTACTATTAAATGAGTAATACTTTGCGACTCCTCCGCACCGCAATCACATTCAGGACTATCCCTGCAATGAAACCGGTGCAGATAATCCGCAAATCCGCCATGACCTGTCAGCGCCTGTACCAATAGAGGGTCCATTTGTATTTTGCGGACAATGTGGTATGCGTTTTCCGCGTCGGGCAGGAACAGCTTTGTTGTCTTAGCGGTTTCTCCCTCTTTGTACCTCCGGTTCCATTCCTCAACAGACTCCTGACGGATTTGTCTCTTGACGAACGAGACCGGACATACGTCGTAGTCCGGTCGTTTTTTTACATCGTAATGCGGCTTCCTTTGCTAATTCATCTGCTCTTTCGTTTCCCTCCAAGGTAAACGGTGCAGAAATTACCCAACTTAAGTTTTTTGTTACTTATTTCCGCATCACCATCCCATATGGATAGTGCTGCGCCAACTTTCCCATCAATTTTGCTCCCGTCCGT